ACAGTATTAAATACTGATACCTTAATGGTATTAAATTTTTCTCTCTGGGGACTGGAGCAGTAGTACAGTGGGTAGGATGCTTGCCTTCTTGAGGCTGACCCGGGTTTGATCCTCGCATTCCATAGGATCCTCTGAGCATTGCCAGGAATAATTCTTGAGTACAGAGCCAGGAGTAACCCCTAGGCATCATCGGGTGTGACCAAAAAAAAAAAATAATTCTCCCATCATGTATCTTTCCTCTTAGATTTGATTTAGTTTTTTTTTTTATCAGTGTTCTCTAGTTCTCTAATTATATATCTTTTTTTTTTGGTGTGGGGGCGGGGAGGAGGAATACCCAAGTAATGCTCAGGAAGTTCGGAGGCCCTACCACCAATTCTTGGGTGGCAGGGCTGGTAGTTTAGTGCAAGGGCCGGAGGACACCAGGCTGCTCAGGCCTCAGGTACAGGGTACCCAGGCCATCCTGGTGGTAGTGGCGCGGGGGGCCTCAGGACTGCGTTCATTGATGCTCAGGGACCATGTGGTTCTGGGAATTAAACCTGAGTGGAGTATATGTCTTTTTTAACTAAAATTTTTTAAAACTAAATTTTATTTTTATAAGTTATAACAATATTTATACATTCAGTGTTCCAGCACCAATCCCACCACCATTACACCCTCCCACCACCATTATTTTAATTTTCCTACCACCACCCAGGCCTGCTCCTGAAGCAGGTCCTGAAGAATTTATTTTGTATTGCTTGTTACAATTAACCAGCTAAAAAATGATCCACAAGAGTTTCCTTAGAGGAAAGTGTGTGAAGATTGTTGTATCTCACCCTGGAGCCATTAAACCCTTCTTGTATAAGAGACTACTAACATGTTGTTACAGGTTGAGCCTTTGTGTGCTAATTTTTTTTGATCAGGATAAGATCGGTTGCCTTCTACTTCACACTCCATCAGATGTGTGGTGTGCTACTCTTGGTGCTTAAGTGGTATAGAGTATGAGATGTTGTGAGGCCGTAAATGTGTGCGCTAGTCGAGTATATTTTATTCATGCACCCTAACTGTAATATTATCTCTCAGCCTCTCCTTTGCGTATTTTGTGAAGAGTTTCTGTGTGTGATGTTGAACCAGAATGGTGAGAGAAGGGCATCTTTGCATTGTTTTCAGTCTTAGTAAAGTGTGCATCCCCAGAGTTAGGTTAGTTGAAGGTTTTTGTAGATACAAATTTGGAGGTACATCAATTGATGGTTTGCTTTTTTTTTTTTTTAACTCTGAGTGGATATTGGATTTAATCAAATGCATTATCTGCAACTGTTGACATAATTATGATTTTTCTTTAACTTACTGGTATGTCTTGTCACACTGGTTAGTTTTTTGAATGTTGAACTATCTTGTTTACTTGCTGTGTAATTCTTTTTGTTTTTGTTTATTTGGGCGACATCCAGTGATGCTCAGGACTTACTCCTTACAGATCACTGCTGGCTGGCTTGGAGGACGATCACGTGGAATGCCGGGTGCAAGGCTGTACTGTCTCTCTGGCTCCAGGACATGGTTTTATAATTGTCTCTTCTCCCACACAAAGTTTTTGATAGAGCTTTTAAAGTGAAGATAGGTTCTTTTCTCCCTTCCATTTACAACTTTATCAAATAATGGCAAAGGATTGCTTTTTTCCAAGCTGTAAAATGATGCCTGCATCTGTGAACTGTATTAACCCAGATTCCCTTTAATGGTTCAGATCCGGAAAGATCCTGTCCATGAGCTCTCTTCACAAAGTAAGCCCACCATTTTCTAGGGTTATTTTGAGAGTCAAGACAATTTCTCATCGTCTTTCTCTTGCTTCTGTCACTAATTTCTCATCTTTTCACCTCTTGCTGGTTTGACATCAATTTTATTAAAGGGGAAACCAGGATATAGAAATGGGATAACCAGTGGTTCCCCGAATACACATCTCTCTCACCTTGGTTTTTGAAGTTAGAATTTGGAGTTTATGTAGGGAGTTATACATACTCAGCCCTATCACTTAATGACTTTTGGTAGTTACCAGTCCCTTTTCTTCAGGAAGTTTGGTGTGAAGGTCTGTGGGAGAAAAAAGTGCTGTGTTGGCATCTTGGTGGTGACTTTTAATCCAGTTGAGAAAGACTGGGTTAGGGCTCAGTGCTTCTGGCCTCCTAGCACTCTTTTGATCCATGTTAGCTCAGCACGTGTTTGCCCATCCTTTGACTGTTCATCTGTTTGAGACTGTGTATTTAAAGTGAATTTCTTGTACCTAACATGCATTTGTTTTTATTTTCTATTTTTTAAAAATTTTCCCTCCTTTTTCACGGTCCACAGTCCTCCCGTTGTTCATCTATTTGCTCGAGAGGGCCCAGTAACGTCTCCATCATGAGACTTGTTGTTACTGTGTTTGGCATATTGAATATGTCACGGGTAGCTTGCCAGGCTCTGCTGTGTGGGTGGGATACTCTCGGTAGCTTGCCGGGCTCTCCGAGAGGGGCGGAGGAATCGAACTCGGGTCGGCCATGTTGGCCGCTTGTAAGGCAAATGCCCTTTTCCTTACCCTGAAGAAGGACCTTCCCCTGGGAAATTTGCAACATTTAGATGTCTAGGAGACATCTCAAAGTGGTGGTAACCGAAAAGGATTTGGAATGGAAAGACTGGCCACAGAAAGGGCAGTGGCTACTGAAAGGGTCACAAAGACTGGGCGGGGTGGTGTCTTGTGTTTAGGGATTCATGCAGCCCTCTTTACCCAGTTGGGAAGGAATCTTGTATAAAGTAAGTTGAAACTGAAAATAAATAGCTGAAATTAATTTTTTTTCTTTTTTGACCAAGTGTAATTATATTAGTGTCACCTAATGGTGAAATGAGATATTACAGCCATGTTTATATGAAGCAGTGAACAAAGAGAAGAATTTGAAAAGAGAAGAATATTTCAGGCATGAACCTATAGATTTACCGTGGTTTCCAAGATCCTATTTTATGTATATGTGTATTGTTTTGTTTTGTTTGTTTTGTTTTGTGTTTTGGACCACACCTGGTGATCCTGGCTCTGCACTCAGGAATTACTCCTGGCAGTGCTTGCTTGGGTGATCATATGGGGTGCCGGGGGATAGAACCCAGGTTGCCACGAGCAAGGTGAATGCTCTACCCACTATACTATCACTCCAGCTCCAATCCTGTAATTTTATTTATTTATTTTTAGCCCTGGCCTCTTTGTCTTATCTATCATATATCCTCTGTGATCAGTCACTAAGCAGTTTGATATAGTTATTAGTCGTTTAGGTTTCAGCTGTAATATTTCCCTTTCCTACTACTTCATTATTCATTAATAAAGATCAAAACATCTTTCTTTGTCATCACTGGACATCAACCCGTTTTATTTTCTTCATAGCCTTTAGAGCAAGATTTGGAATGATCTTTTATTTTTTTAAATTTTTATTTATTTTTTTAATTTTTATTAGCGAGACATCATGAGGTACAGTTGTAGACTTACAAATTTTTGTGCTTGGGTTTCAATTATGCAATGATCAAATACCCATTCCTCCATCAGTGCCCATTTCCCACCACCACGGATCCCAGTATCCCTCCCACCCCCCATCCCCCCTATCCCACCCTGCTTCTGTGGGAGGGCATTCCCTTTTGTTCTCTCTCTCCTATTGGGTGTTGTGGTTTGCAAAAGAGGCAATGGGTGACCATCATGTTTGGTCTGTAGTCTACTTTCAGCATGCTTCTCCCATCCTGGGAGGATCCTCCCAACATCATTTATTTGGTGCTCCCTTCTCTATCTGAGCTCCCTTTTCCCTTAGCATGTGTGGCTGGCCTCCAAGCCATGGAGTAAAATTCCTGGTACTAATCTCGGCCTGGAATGATCTTTTTTCCTCGCTAGATGTGTGCTCCAGGAGAGCAGAGAGTCTGCCCCCCTAATTTATTTAGGAACCCCAGGGCTGATACAGTGTCTTTTTGGTAGTGTACATGGTTGATTAAAATGAGTTGTGTGAATTTGAAGATCTGGAAGTGACAGTGGTGAGTTCTTTTTTTTTTTGGTTTTTGGGTCACACCTGGCGATGCACAAGGGTTACTCCTGGCTCTGCACTCAGGAATTACTCCTGGCAGTGCTCAGGGGACCATATTGGATACTGGGAATCAAACCTGGATCTCCGTGTGCAAGGCAAATACCCTACTGCTGTGCTACTGCTCCAGCCCCAGTTGTGAGTTCTTGTGGTTTAGAGATCTATCTAGAAAGCACAATTATTCTACATTTAATTTCTAAAATAATGTTTGATACATAAAGGTAAGGTTAACACATGGTCCCCATGGTAGTAAGTCTACAAGAAAAGATGAATAGCTTAGGATGTTGACTCACATTTGGCTGGCTAGCTATATTTATGTAACCAATAAAAAATTTTTGTTTTGAGGGCCATAGTCTATAGAGCTCAGGACTTGTTCCTAACTTTGACTCAGGGATCACTTCTGGTGTTTGGGGATCCGTATGCGGTGCTGGGAATCAAACTGGGATTGACTGCATGCCAAGAAGTCCCTTAATCCCTGTACTAACTCTCTGACCTTGAATTCTGTATTAATGAACTTGTGACACAGAATATAAGGCACAGTAGTTAGCCTTGATAAATGTTTGTAAATAATTTAAAGTGATTTTGGCCAATACTTGCATAAGGTTTTATATATTTCTAGTGTTGTACTTCATTATTCATTAATAAAGATCAAAACATTATTTCTTCAAGAAATGAGTCAAACAGTAGCAAATCAGTTCAGCTGAGAAATAGTGGGCTTGTGTTTTCCAGGGAACAATAAGTTTCTTTTAGTCTGGAAACTCAGGTGAAGAGAGTACATTTCCAGTATGTGGCCTAGTCTAAGAACTTAGCCTCTCCAGTTTTGAGATAATTGTCTAGCCGGTAGAATTCTTCACATGAACAATTCTTAAATATGGAGAATTTCCCGGGTGCTTATTAGATCATGTTTTTATTCAATGGTTTATTTTAAATTCCTGTGTTTTTTTTGTCCAGGTGGATGTGGGAAGAAAAGTTTGCAGAAGTGAAATGGAGGTCAGAGCTTCATTACAGAAGGTTAGTGGGTCATCGGATTCTGTGGCTACACTGAACAGTGAAGAATTTGTTTTGGTTCCTCAGCACGCAGATGAAACTACTACAAAATATGACGAAAAACCTCAGCTAAAGGTATTTAGTATTCTACGAATATGTTTTTACTTTTTTTTTTTTACTCAATGAAACAGATGTTGTAAAATCCAAAGTGTTTTCCACCCTCCCTCGAGTGTTGATCTTGAGACTAGAAATCAGTAATTTATCCAGAGGCTAGTTATTTGGTTCATGTATTTTTTAAAGTCTTGTTTCTCATTATCTTTCAATTCTTTCTAGAATTTTAGAAAGAAGGAATGTAAGTGGGAAGGGTAATTGTTGATTTAGACTATGTGATTAGATATGACATATGTAATTTCTGTATTTATTGTCTGACAGCTGGATTTTACAAGTTATGTAAAGAACTGTATTTTGCTTTTACTAGTCTTTGCAGTTATTGTTTTAAATTGGCTTGTAAGACTCTTGGTATGTGATTTAACATTAGACCTGTCTGAGTAATATATCTTGTAGTTTTTGCAGATAAGGCTTTTCTGAGAAGCATGAGTTTTTATTCTTTATATTTTTCCTAAGAACCAAGAAAACCCAGTATATAGTATGAGAATTACATAGCTACCCTTTAGGAATAAGTATAGAAAAATTTATCAAAACAGCTTCATATTTGATGTTTAATAAAAACCTCAAATTATTAAATACCTATCTTATTGTTTGGAGAATGGTTTTATAAAAATTATCAATGATTTAAAATTAATATTAATATGCTTAAGATAACTTTATTTGCAAAGATGTTATTTAACTTTGTGTCTAACTTGCAAAAAGTGAACAAGGTATGTTAACTTATATGCCAGGAAATTAGAATTTAACTTGGTTTTATCTAGAAAGCAAAAAAAAATTTTTTGTTTTTCTTTTTGGGCCATACTTTGTGGTGCTTAGGAGTTACTTCTGATTCTGTGCTCAGGAATTACTGCTAGCAGTGCTTGGTTGACCATATGGGATGCCGGGGATTAAAGTGGGGTCAGACACTTACAAATAGCTTGCCCATTGTGGTATTTCTCTGACTCCTGGAGAGCAAATATGAAAAGAATAACAATATTGAAATTAATAACAATAGCTATGACCAGTTAGCTTATAAATTGGAGAAATTTCTATTTAAATTTGTGATTTTTTTAAAAAAACATAAGTTTAAGATGACATGATTTTCAGAATTTGCTCCTAAATAATAGAGGGGCTGGAGAGAGGGCAGTGGGTACGGCTTTTACCTACTATATAACCAATGTAGGTTTGCTCTCACATGGTCCACTGAGCACAGAGCCCAGAATGACCTATGGTCATAGAGCCAGAAGTAATTCTTGAACATAGCTAGGTGGGCTGGAGCGATAGCACAATGGTAGGCCTTGCATGCAGCCAACATGGCCGACCCGAGTTCGATTCCTCCGCCCCTCTCGGAGAGCCCGGCAAGCTACCAAGAGTATCTAGCCCACACGGCAGAGCCTGGCAAGCTACCGGATGTATTCGATATGCCAAACACAGTAATAACAAAGTCTCCAATGGGCCTGCTCGAGCAAATCGATGAACAACGGGAGGACAGTGACAGTGACAGTGACAGCTAGGTGTAGCATCAAAACAAAAGCAAAAATCAACCCCTGTCCTCCCTGTACCACTCTCCCCCACAGAAAAAAAAAAATAAAAGGAAGACTGGAGACATAGTACAGGGGTTAAGGTGTTTGCCTGCAGATTGCCTATCCTGTTTCAATTCCTACTTTCCTCTGTGGTCCCCTGAGCACTTACAGGACTGACTCCTGAAATCAAAGTCAGGAGTAGCCCATGGCACTGTCAAATGTGGTCCAAATCCTCCACTGCAAATGGAGATCTCTATGGACAACATTTTAGGGAATAGGTGTAGTTGGAAACTGAGTAGATGTTCTCTGAAGCACGTTTCTCAAACTAATAGTCATCTAATTTAGATTTTTTTTATTTTTTAAAATATTTATTTATTTATTTATTTATTTTGCTTTTTGGGTCACACCCAGCGATGCTCAGGGGTTACTCCTGGCTTTGCACTCAGGAATTACTCCTGGCGGTGCTTGGGGGACGATATGGGATGCCTGGGATCAAACCCGGGTCGACCGCTTGCAAGGCAAATGCCCTACCCGCTGTACTATCACTTCATCCCTTAGATTTTTTTTTCTAAATTTAGAATTTATATCTTGGGCTGGAGCAATAGCACAGCAGGTAGGGCGTTTGCCTTGAATGCGGCCAACCTGGGTTCAATTCCCAGCATCCCATATGGTCCCCCAAGCACCGCCAGTAGTGATTCCTGAGAGTAGAGCCGCAGAGGCTGGAGTAACCCCTGAGCATTGTGGGATGTGACCCAAAAAGCCAAAAAAAAAAAAAAAGGATTCATATCTTTGAAATTAGGTACAATGACATAAACTTATAATAGTCACCGGATAAATTGAAATATTTAGGCTCTTTTTATTTTTTCTAGATACAAAATGTTTTCACTAAATAAAACTCTAGAACCAGGATTGAAAGAAAATTTTCTTGCTTTGTATGCAGATAGTTTCTAATGGTGATGAACAGTTGGAAAAAGCCATGGAGGAGATACTGAGAGATTCCGAGAAGGGGCAGAGCAGTCCTCTTGGTGATTATCAAAGTTCCAGTGAGATTTCAGACTATTCATTTGGAGATGTTTCAGCCAGTCAAGCTAATAAGCCATCTCTTCAGTTATATTTGGATCCGTCAAATACAGGTACTGTATTCAAACCAGAAGAGAAATGGAATTAAAGTGGTAGGGAAATTTTCTAGATGAAAATTAAAAAGCCTACTAGCTTTTTTTTTTTTTTTTTTGTAACATGCAGGCCAGCTTTTCTTCTCTAGTTGGGAGTTCCACTTTGCTTTGTTTTTGTTCTGTCTCTCTACTTGTTAAGCTAGTCCAGTGTTCTGAGAACAGACACTATGTCTTGATCCTCATCTTATCCCCCGTATTATTTGGCATGCAGTAGACCTTGAAGTACTTGCTGACAATGAATGAGTAAATCAGTATGTAATTAATAAATAAAATATCAAATATTACAAAGATTATGAGAGATTATTGACAGTGCTTTGCTTTATCCTTGGAATTTTATTATGTGTGTGTGTGTTTGTTTTGTTGCTTGGTATATACCTGACTGTGCTCAGGGCTTACTCTTGGCTCTGTGCTCAAGGGTCACTCCTTGTGGGGTTCAGGGGACCATATTTGGTGCTGGCTACATGCAAGACAAATGCCTTACCTTCTGTTCTATGGCTCTGGCCTCATTTTGGTTTTTATGTGTGGTATGTGAAATATACATATATATTTTCTTAGTGTAACTTTTACTGTATTAAATAAGTACAGGACTGGGGATAGACAGGTTGAGAGGTAGAATACATAACATATACAGGGCTCCGAATTTGATCATTTGAGCTGTGAATGGTCTCTACACAACACATATATAGGTACATATCTTTGCAGAAAACTTAAGATAACACTTCAAGAAATGAAATGACTGATTCTAGAACTCTGAATTTATATTTAGAATAAACATTAAAGGAATAAAAACACAGAGACCTAAATTTTGTTTGTAATTTTTCATTGTCTGTGGGATTTTGCATCAACTTAATATTGAATGCTTTAATTTCTTAGAAATTTCTACACCCAGACCATCTTCTCCAAGTGGATTGCCTGAAGAAGATAGTGTTTTGTTTAACAAACTGATCTACTTGGGCTGTATGAAGATTTCTTCTCCACGTAATGAAGTGGAGGCTTTACGTGCAATGGCAACTATGAAATCTTCCAGTCAGTCCCCTTTTCCTGTTACTCTCTATGTGCCAAATGTTCCAGAAGGCTCAGTGAGGTAAGCTCTGATTCTTTTTTTTAAATCTTAGATATGTATCATGTTTTTTGGGTAGTGGGTATGTTGTATCATAAATCAGACCTAGGACTTAGCTAAATTCACTTTTACCCTGTTGACATACATACAAAGTGAACATCTTTTTTTTTTAATTGAATCACCATGAAATACAGTTACAAAGATTTCATGTTTGAGTTTCAGTCATACAGTGATGGAACACCCATCCCTCTACCAGTGCACATTTTCCACCACCAATGTCCCCAGAAACCCCCATCCCAACCCTCCTGCTGCCTCCATGACAAACAATCTCTCCCAAACTCTCTCTCTACTTTTGGGCATTATGGTTTGCAATACAGACACCGAGAGGCCGTCACGTTGGGTCCTTTGTCTACTCTCAGCACACATCTCCCATCCCGAGCAATCCCTCCAACCATCACTGACTCAGTGACCCCTTCTCCATCCCAGCTGCCTTCTCTCCCAGCTCATACAGGCAAAGTGAGCATCTTTAAGCTTGGAGCTGTCTTCCTTATTCACTAGGGAATTTGAAAACTTATGCTTATAATATGGAAATACAGTTGTAAAAATATTAGCAATTTGTATTTTTCTAGCCTAAAGGTATTTAAATCTGCCTTCACCTTATTATTAATAAGAATGTATAAAGTCTCTTTCCATGGATGCATTTTGTAGATTGCTTATGTAACATCTCCAAAAAAGGTCAAATAACTCTTACTGTTTCGTTTCAAAATGTGACACACCTTGACAAAGACTTGATGTTTTCCCTTGCATCTGTTCTTAGAAGCTACACCTCATTTTTATAGTTTAAAATTCTAAAGGATCTAAAGCTTTTAGATAAATCCAGGGCTTAAGATTTGTATAGGAAAGCTCAGAATTACCCGCTTTTGGATCCCACAGACTCTTTTACTCTGAAATTATGTTGAGTTTATCTTTGAAACTACCTCTGTTTTTTTCCTGCTTTAATAAGAGAGATCGCAAATTTGCCTTGCAAATAAGAGAGGTCTCTATTGAACAGTGACTTAGAACTTGCATATTTCAGGTGCACTTTAATTGAAGTATACCTTGTAGAGAAGGTCTGTGCTATTTTGTACTGGAAGTTCTTTTTCCATAATAGTAGTACAAGATTACTGTTATAGGATGAGTATTTAAGGATGAAAAAATGGGTGACATAGATTTTTACCAGACATAGCATTAGTAGGCATTTTCAGGCTTTGGGAGTAAATGATTTCATTCATAGGAAATATAACAATGAAGTAATTGTCAAAGAAGATGAAGAATTTGCATGTGTATCTTTGTATGCATGAAAATATGTACAAAGTAAGAGTTTGAAGATTGTTTTCCTGCATCATTATTTTTGTGATCCTTAGATAATTGTTTTTCTATATTGGTATAGTAGAATAATTTGACTCTGTTTTTCTGTGGCTATACTTTATCTCATTTTTCATCACTGTCTTGCAGAATTATAGACCAATCTAGAAATAAGGAGATAGCATCTTTTCCAATCTATAAGGTGGTTTTCTGTGCCCGTGGACATGATGGGACGTCGGAGAGCAATTGCTTTTCATTTACAGAGAGTTCGCATGGGTCAGAAGAATTTCAGATACATGTTTTCTCCTGTGAAATTAGAGAGGCAGTAAGTATCATAGATTGTCACAGTTTGCTAAAGCTGAATTAGGGTTATATATTTGAACCCTAACCTCATTGTCATATAAATGTGTTTGGTATATACCAGTAAACTATTTGGGGTACATTTCTAAATAAGTTTACATTTGTAATGATATATAATTAAATTTTTAGTATATGGGATGGAGCGAAAGCACAGCGGTAGGGTGTTTGCCTTGCACGCAGCCAACATGGCTGACCCGAGTTCTATTCCTCCGCCTCTCTCGGAGAGCCCGGCAAGCTACTGAGAGTATCTCGCCCGCACGGCAGAGCCTGGCAAGCTCCCCGAGACGTATTCGATATGCCAGACACAGTAACAACAAAGTCTCCAATGGAGACGTTACTGGGCCCGCTCCAGCAAATCGATGAACAACGGGAGGGCCTTTACCTTTATAATTAAATATGGAAAGTTGAAGTGGATAGTTCTGTGCACTAAAGTGATCTTGTAGGTGCGGAGTTCCAAATTTAGTAGATGATAATTGGAAAAATCCCTTTTCATCAGCTCTCCTCCTACCCCACCATAGAAGCAAGTTGCCAAGGTGAAGAAAGGTATTTTTTTTTTTTAAATTCTCATTTTGTCCAAGTAGATTGGTTCATGGGACTTGAAACAGTACCTATAACAATACCTGTTTCTCTGGTGAACTTAAATCTGAAAGCTGCATTGTACTTTCACTTAGGTGTTATACTAAAATTGTTATATACATCTCCATGGTTTTTAAAGTAGTCTCAGATCCTGGCTTTTGCTCTGTAAAATGGGCCTAACTAAAATACACATACCATGAGTGTATCCACTGAGTGCTTTGAGATATCAGGAAGATTCCCTTAGCAGTTGGTAACTGGGGCTTTATTCTTAAACTAGGATGCAGTTCACAGTCAGACACAATCATGGGGTTTGATAATAATCAAAGCACTGTTAATACATGGGGAAAATCCCTGCCATTTTTGTATCCAATTCTCAAAATTTAAAATGTTACATTGGGCTGGAGAAGAGAGCTCAGGGATCCAGGGCTCATGCTTTGCACCTACAAGGACCCAAGTTCCTAAGATTTCATTTTGTAACTTAAGGTATTTTGTTGTGACTTGTGAAAACCTGCAGTAAAATACCTTAAGCTGTTAAGTCCTGTTAACTGAGTAACTCCTATTAACTGAGTAACTCCTATTAACTCCTCTTAAGCTGAATAACTCCTTAAGGCGTGGAATAGGAGTTACTCAGTGGATTGGTTATATGTTGTAGACTACTTAAGCCTGCATTTGTCGCTGTACTAGGTATATTTATTTAGAACTATACATTGTCAGACAATATTAAAATAACCACCAAAACCCAAAACCAAAGCAAAATAAATCTTTGGGTTCATAGCCCTCTCTGCAACCAGGTGTAGTCCCAGCCCCAGAGACTCTGAGGACACGAGCACTGTTGCATCATTAGGCTCCCAGTGTTGAACTTTCCAGCCTGACTGAGTGAGTTGGCTGGGACTTGCTCTTTCAGTTCTTGGACACTGCTTAGGAAGCCTGTTTTTATTTTTGTTTTTGTAATATTAGAGCTTTAGTACTTAATCCATTTTAAAGATGATAAATGGATTGGATGAACAAGGTTTCAGGTATATTTATTTAGAACTATAAATTGTCAGCCGAGAATGCCCCCAATTTTCTATTTACTGCTAAACAAACAGACTGTTTTAGTAACCAGAGTTCTGAGACTTTATTTCTGGCGGCAACATGAAAGGCAGTTATGCTAGCCACTATACCACCAACGCATGGAAACTCAAAGAATTGTAGACTTCTGGGTTTGATCCACTAAGTACATGGAGGTTCATGTTAATACTTCTACTATGGTAATTAATTTTATTTACACTAAAACTAACATGCCACTGACATCACAGTTTAAATTGTAGGCACAAAAATTTGCTGCCAGGACCCAGGCCTCTGTAAGGAATTTGTGTTTTCTGATTTGGGTTTTTATATCTGAGTGTTCTTTCTTTTTTTTAAAAATTTTTAATTTATAAGTTAGTTCACAATATTTGATTACATTTAATATTCAAACACCAATCCCACCACCATGACACCTTCCCACCACCAAATTCGGGATTTTCCATCCCAAGCCCCTATCCCTGTTCCAAAACACAACTGAAACAATATATTTCATATTGCCTGGCAAGCTACCGAGAGTATCTCGCCCGCATGGCAAAGCCTGGCAAGCTCCCCGTGACGTATTCAATATGCCAAAACACAGTAACAACAAGTCTCAAAATGGAGACATTACTGGGCCTGCTCGAGCATATTGATGAACAACGGGAGGACAGTGACAGTGATTGTCTTGTTATGAAGAACTGCTGAATATGCTTACAAAAAAGTATTCTTATAGGAAACAGTGTGAAGATTATTCTATTTTGGCAGGAGTCATTAAGACATTCTATGGGATGTCACTAACATGTTGTTAAAGTTTGGTTGATGTGAGCTTTGGTATATATCTGAAAATATGTATATATGCATATATATATATATTTCCTTCTAAGATTTGTTGCCCTCTGTCTGGACCCCATCAAATGTGGTATGGTAATTATGGAGAATAGGTAGGGAGTGTCTTATTACGTGGGGTCCAGGAATATGTTTACTCATATGTGTGGCTCAGCCCAAGTTTGTGGGTAGCGGCCTTGAGTTGGCAGAGTTAGGTTGTAGAGGTTTTTGGCTGCTGGAGCTGGGTCCCTTGGGGCGGGGAGGGCTCTCACCTGCTCCCCTCTGGGGCACCCTGTGTGAAACAGCCTGGTGCGGAGTCTGTGGCATGGTTATGGGGGCCTCATGTTATGCCCCCTTCTGGGAGAAGCAACTATGCGATCTGGACAGTGGCTGATCGTGAGATTATCTGGCACCAGCAGGAGGTGGCTTATGGGTGTCTGAGTATTATTTCTGAGTTGTATATTTGCTTCAGGTATCAAATCTTAGTGATGGCAGAGTGAATGATGTAAGTGTGCCGGCACAGAGGAGGCAGTGAACAGAATGGAAAGAATATGTGTGTTTGTGAACGCGGGGATCTGTTTCTGATCCTTACAGAGGTGGGGAGGCGGCAGGTGGGAGAGGCCTGGCATTTTACGTTGGTGGTCACATTAACACACCTAAGGGGTTTCTGAATCACTGACATTCAACACCAAGAAAATAAACTTTCAAGAATCGGAGAACCTACTGAATAGAGAAGTCGAAATCCTCTGCAGAAGAAAATTGAGAGACTTGGCTGCCAGAATTTTCAAAAACTGACGGTATGAAGCCTTCCCTTTGAATTATTGCAGCGTCTATAGATTTACATGATTGGGGGCGGGGTTTGTTATTTCTGAGACTATTGGACAAAACTGGGAAATTCTTGGCCGAACTGTTTTAGGGGCATAATAATAGCTTTATATTTTTAGAGGATATTTGGCACTTTGCAGGCTATCAGAAAATGATGTCTCTGTATTATTTCACTTTCGTTGAGTACATTTTTAGATTTGTACATTATGAGGCATTGATTTTAAAACCCATTGATTAAAGAAGAAATATATTTTTAATTAAATTTTACTGTAAGAAATAATTTCTATATGAAGTGTAACCTAATATAAGTAGGAAGTTTATACCAGTGCTGAGTACTTAAGTGGTATTCTTAACATTTCCATGGCATAATGTAAAATTTTAGACCATGCTCTTATGTTCCCCTTAGGTCTGGATGATAAATTGTATGGTTTTCCTAATTACATGGTTATAATAACAATATAGAAATAGTTTTCAGATGGTAGTCTTTAACTCTGAAGACCCATGTAGTTTTCAGTAAAAATTTCACGTTAAATACTATAAAAAGCAAATATGAATTTTTACCTTTAAGTTAGGCTTCTATTCCAAACTGCCTTTGTGTTTTTCATCAATTATGCCTTCCTTAAGATGTCTGATATCTTCATATTCAAAAGAATGATCCTTTTAGTTAATCTGAAATTTTTTAGTTGCATGTACTACTTGTCTGGTTTCTAGAAGTTTCTTGTTCTTTGGTGAAAGGACTAGTTTTTAGTGTTTGGGCATCTTCTGATGGGCACATAGTTCTGGGAAAGGTGACAGTTTTACTGCCAATGTGTATACTTTATAACAATGCTAATTTGTTTCTCATTGTTTGTAGACTTTCTGGATCTGAAGTTTGTCAATTAAAGACTAGAGGATATCTTTTCAAGCAGGAGTAGTAAGTAGCATGGCTGCAATTATCATATCTTTATCCACTTGTCGTTAGTGGACACTTAGAAAATTTTCAACTTTTGACTTTTGTGAATAATGCTGAAATGAACATGAATGTGCATATTTCTCTGTCTTGGAACTAAATATTTTATTATTATAAATGTCCAGCAGTGGGATAGCTGGATCACTTAGTATTTCTATTTTTTATATATGTCCATAATATAAAATTTTAGACCATGCTCTTATGTTCCCCTTAGGTCTGGATGATAAATTGTATGGTTTTCCTAATTACATGGTTATAATAACAATATAGAAATATATTGTTAATATATTTAATATTTAACAATATAGAAAAGCCATTTCTATATTGTCATTCTATAACAATATATTAAATATTATATTTAATAATATTTAAATAAATATTATATTTAATATTTAATATATTGTTATACAATAACAATATATAGAAATGGTCTTTTTTCTTTTGCTGTTGACATACATGATTTTTAAATACATTGCTTATATTTATCAAATATAAGCTTCCCAAATACTCTCTTTCATTCCATTGGTATTTTTTTTTAATTTTACTTTTGATCTTCCATGAGAAACTTTAGTTTGAGCTTACTCCCACTTATTAAGAGCTTTAATCCATTTCAGTTTGGTTTTTGTATATGTAATATTTGGAATTTGAAATGTATTAAAATAAAGAGAAAAGTCATTCAGAATTCCACCAGAGTGAAACGTTTGTATATCTCCTTTCCACATAATTGCATGTGCTTTTCTTTCTATTCCAAAACGGCAGAAGCTATAATGACACTATCAGCAACACACTTAAACAGGTCTATAATTTTCTGTTAACTTATGTTTCTTGTAGTTACTACTTTCTGGAGGAAAATTGTGTTGATAATAAACCTTACCATTTGCAAACAAAATGTCTGTTCTTGGTTATTTATGTATGTGTGTGTGTGTGTGTGTGTGTGTGTGTGTGTGGTGTGTATAAGAGAGAGAGAAAGAGAGACGGGGGAGGGAGTGAGGGGAGAGTGAGAATTGCTAGCAGTAGTGTCTTAAAGTTTAATTTTCATAATGTCATTTGTTCACCAGCTTGTTCCAATAACTATAGAAATCTAGAATTACTGTTTCTATAACTATTCACATTATTAATCCCTGGATCACCATTTTTAGCTTTTTCAAATTCAGTAATTCATAAATCATTTTTATTTCATGAAAGATAATTTATAAGATATGGTCAGTATCAAATGCCGTTTGAGTGCTATCATTGGGGTTTATGTGTTTCTCTCCCCAAAAATGGAGGTATAGTTTGATCCCTTCTCCCCACTTCATTGTATCCCATTAGAACTCAGCCCTTGGTATCAGCGTAGACTTGCTGATAGTGCCAACGTAAAGGAATTGAAATAAAGAGCGGGGGAAAAAGTTACTATGGATTGGCTTTAGTATATTATAGGTTTTTTTTTATTTTTACATGTAATTCTGCTGCTGTCCTAGGTTAATATCTGAATATTTTGAATTCATTTTTTCTGAATCTGGAGTAACTAAAAATAGGATATTTCCCAAGTTCTTTTATTTCAGTGCTCAATCTATGGGTTGTCTGAGAGAACCAGTAACCCCTGAGCATCACTGGGTGTGCCCCAAAGACCAGAAAAAAAAAGTAGTCACCGGTGTTGTTCAATGTCTAGAATGAGAAGATCATTTCTGCATTCGTTTATTCTGGGAGTCCTGCAACATATTTAAACCATGTCAATGTTGAATATTGGGATCTGTTTAAATCTTGTTGCCATGTATGTGTTTTTCTTTTTATTTATTTATTTATTTATTGAATCGCTGTGGGAAAAGTTACAAAGCTTTCAGGTTTAGGTCTCGGTCATGCAAATATCAATCACATTTCCCTTTACCAATACTTTTTTTTCACCACGAAGAACCCCAGTAAACCCCCTCCACCCCCCCAATGCCTGTGGGGCAGATGAATTCTAGTTAACACTCTATCTACTTTGACTAGCTTCATTGTTTCGATAAAAGTTGCACCATTATTATTTAGACTTTAGCCCCCCCGCCCCCCCCCAAATCAGCCATGCTGAAAAAGCATTGTGAAAGGATTTGCTTTCTACAGCTGGGTTCAAGAATTAAATAATGTCGCGGGCCACTATCGCGGCCGCGTGGTTTTGGATTTCTGCTATTTTATTTATTAACCCTGGAAGTATTTCTACTGAGAGTCAGATAATTAAGAGATTGGTTTCTGTGCTTCTGGGACCGTGGCCGTGCCGGAGAGCCGCTCGTGGGGGGTGGGGGGGGCAAGTGGTGACCTTGGTAGGACGTGAAGGACGGGCCGGAACGCTGTATGTGTTTTTCTAAAATTGATAGTTGCTTACTCCCATCCCCTTCAGTATTGAGCTCAGTGAAGCTAGGAAACTTTTATTATTTTTATGTTTTTCTCTTTTCTAATTGTTTTAATTGAATCACTGTGAGATATGCAGTTTCAAAGTTGTTCATGGTCAAGTCTCACTCATACAGTGTTCTAACATCCTTCACTTCACCCGCGTACATTTCCCACAGCCAGAGTCCCCACTCTAGGAAACTTAAAAAGAGAGTTGAGGATTGGAGTTAAACAGTTTTGTGGGGCTGGAGCGATAGCACAGCGGGTAGGACGTTTGCCTTGCATGCAGCCAACCCGGGTTTGGTTCCCAGCATCCAATAGGGTCCCCTGAGCACTGCCAAGAGTAATTCTTGAGTGCAGAACCAGGAGTAACCCTTGTGCATCACTGGGTGTGACTTAAGAAGCAGGAAAAAAAAACCCCACAGTTTTGTATATCTTTATTGGGAAGTTTAGATGTTAGTATTTTTCTAGTAATTATTTTAGTATTAATTTACCCCACTTTTTTTTTTCAGGCTTAAAAAATAGTGATAGAACCAGTTTTTTTGGCTTGTGAACCTAAATAGTTCAGCTCATTGTCATGTTTAAATGCCAGAATTGAAAGAATTATGTAGTATAATCTATGTACCTATAATAAACTACAATGTATGATTAACTCTATATACTTGATCTGCTAGGTAACATTGTGACCTTTGAAATGTACAAGTTAAAGAACCAGGAAGAAAGGTAAAACCCTTTGCCTAATTTTATTTTTCATTTTTACTTTCAGGTAAGCAGAATTTTATATAGTTTCTCTACAGCGTTCAAACGTTCTTCAAGAAAATTATCTGATGTTAAAGACTCCGTTATTCCTACTCCTGACAGTGACGTGTTTACCTTCAGTGTCTCCTTGGAGGTTAAAGAAGATGATGGAAAAGGGAACTTTAGGTAAAGTTATTTGAAAGTAATGAGAAATGGTATTCAAGGTATTCTTTTGTAGATAAGACAGTCAGTATTTTAGACACTGTTGTTTCAAGTCATCTCTTAAGAATGTCTCACATTTAATCTTTTCAGATCTATGTCCATCTTCTGTTTATATTTATTTGGATGCTTCAGTAATTACAAAGTCTAAATGCTTAGTAGTAAGCTTATTTTCTTTTGCCTTTTTTTATGTTTTACTATGTTAAAAGTTTTCATGATCATACCAGCTAAACCAGAAACGTGACAAAGTTTTATTTTCTTTACGTGGAGTGTGAAGTGGGGCAGGTTTGGGCCACACCCAGGGTGCGCAGTATTTATTCCTGTCTCTGAGTTCAGAATAATACTTGGTGATGCTTGGGGGACCTCAGGTGTATGGTGTTGAAATTTAACTGCTGGGGTGGGCACAGCAAGTGCCTTAAACCCCTTATACTATCTATGTTGCCCCAAATATGACAGTCTTGGGGCCGGAGAGATAGTAGGGTGGGTAGGGCATTTGTCTTGCACTCGACCGATCCAGGTCTCATCCCCAGCATTCCATATGGTCTCCTGAGCAACGCCAGGAGTAATTCCTGAATGCAGAGCCAGGAGTGACCCCTGAGCATCGCCGGGTGTAACCCAAATAAATAAAGTTTAAAAATATGTATTAATTTTTTGGGGGGAGTACATATGTGGCTGTGCTCAGGGCTGACTCCTGCCTCTGCACTCAGACATTACCCAAGTCCCGCCAGGGGTGTGGGGATTGCACCTGGTTGAACATGTGCAAGGCATGTTCCCTACCTGCTGTACTGTCTCTCTGGCCCCGGATGTTGGAAGTATTTTGCTATCACTGAAAAATGTTGGGTTTAACATTGGTTAGAGATAAAATGTCTTATCAAATATAGTTTAAAAGTTAATTACAATTCTGTTCTGATTTTAATTTTGTAATCTGTTACTCTGACAAGGTGAATTTGATAAGGGTGTTACTGCTTAAATATTTCATTGATTTGGTTTAATATTGGAATTATTTTTTTTCTTCTTCTGGGATTGAACCAGCACATCACACTAAGCATGACGTCTATGTACTTTCCTTTTGAACTACATCCATGGATCTAGAATCAAACAGTCATTGTGTTATATTTATAACTGTGTTATAACTTCTTTTATCTTTCAGTCCTGTGCCTAAAGATAGAGATAAGTTTTATTTCAAATTAAAACAAGGAATAGAGAAGAAGGTTGTGATTACAGTGCAACAACTTTCCAACAAAGAATTAGCTATTGAACGGTAAGCAACTTGCTTCTAGATTCTGCCAAAACTTGTAGTGTTCATTGCATTTTTGGAGAGAAGCACTATTGGATTGCAGTTGTATTACTCTTGATGACTTTTCACCATACTTCTGTTTTGCCATTGGCAGAGAATGTGTCCCGTAATGCTTTCTTTGATTCAGAGGTTACATGAAACTGGTTCATTGAAAATCTCAGGCTGGAAGTTCAGTGCAAGGGACTTCAGATGTAGTGCTCGCAGATCCTGTAGTGCTTGGGGTCACCATGGCCACTTTGCCAGTGCTCTGGGGATACATAGAACAATACTCAGGAGGCCATGTGGCACCAGGGACATCCCTTGTGCAGACCCTATGTAATATGTTTGAATCATCATGTGTGAAGAATGGAATTTAGGGCACTCCAATAGGTGGCAGTCTTGTCAAGAGAATCCGTAACACCTCTGCCTATTTCACGTTGCTCACAAACGTTCATTGGTATGAAAAAAACCTCATTCCTTCATTTTGGCTTATCTTTTGACAGAAAATTCATCATTTAAAAAATATTTTAAATATGTAAGTTTTCCAACACACATAAAAGTCACTGTCACTGTCCTCCCGTTTTTCATTGATTTTGCTCCAGCGGGCCCAGTAATGTCTCCATCGTGATACTTGTTGTTACTGTGTTTGGCATATTGAATACGTCACGAGTAGCTTGCCAGGCTTTGCTGTGCGGGCGAGATACTCTCGGTAGCTTGCCGGGCTCTCCGAGAGGGGCAGAGGAATCGAACTCGGGTCGGCCATGTTGGCCGCTTGTAAGGCAAACGCCCTACTGCTGTGCTAGGCTCATTATAAAATGACTCAGGACATTTAGAAAATGAACCTAGGTAAATTCCGTAACAAGGGTAGTCTTCTACCAGCGGTAATTAGGCCTTCTCGAGGTTAGTTTGGAAGAGATCTTTGGCTTCAGTGTTCTGTGCCTATCAAATTGTTCTGTTCCTGTGTGATTGGAGTGTAGCACTGATACAGAAGCAGAGCAAAGTAGTAGATAATGTAATAAACATATCTACTATATCTTAACTGAGTAACATGGGACAATGTCTAGGACCCCAGGAACCTGAGCCAAGTGTACAGCGTCTCACTTAGTAAGATGTATACAAGCACCAGCTGAAGTGTACAACTCTAGGTGGGACCTGAAACTGAGACGTATGAGTACTGAGAACAGGTGGGAAGATTCCAGGGAGCACTGTGGCTAGGTGCAAACACCACAGCCCCAGAGTATGTGAATCCAGTCATTGCATCAGTAGCAGAGGGAAGGAACTTGGAGGAAGTGCATGTAGCACGTAGTACTAGAACAGACTGATTACTTGTAGAGTGAGTCAGAAATGTGCCCTTTTCCTGTAGTAAATTTTGCTTTGATTCTTAATGTATTGACTCGTAACCATGTAATGAGAAGTTGAAGTGATAAGTGCCAGGCCTCATTTTCCCTCCCACTTCTCTGATTGCTTGGCAGTTAGAGTCTCGTAGTCCAAGGCCGGGGTTTGTCATGGTGTAGATACTGCCTCTTCCCTTGTTTTGTCTCTCTGTTCCACAGGTCAGTGAGATCATCTGCTATTTCTCTCTCCTTCAGACTTCCCTTAACATGGTACCTTGTAGTTCCAGCTACACGGTAACAGAGTGCCTAGTTTTTCACCTTTTCTTACAGCTACACAGCATACATAGACATAGTGTCTTTTTTTTTTTGTTGTTTTTTTTACTTTTTGGGGTCACTCCGGCCAATGTGCTTCTGGCTCATGTGCTCATGAATTACTCCTGACGGTGCTTGGGGGACCATATGGGATGTTGGGAATCGAACCCGGAGTGGCCGCGTGCAAGACAAATGCCCTGTCCACTTTGCTATCGCTCTAGCCCACGTACATAGTTTCATATGTTAACCTATACTAGATGTCTTGGTGCTTTTATTTATTTATTTATTATTTATGCGTGTCCATTATGATTTTTTTTCCCTGTTGAATCACCATGAGATACAGTGACAAAACTTTCAGTCAAACATCATACAATTGTCCTGGTGCTTTTTAAGTTAAATTAAAAAATTTATAGATGCACCAAAAGTGAGTTTTTTAAAAAAAATATATTTTTAATTTTTGCTTTTTGGGTCACACCTGGCGATGCACAGGAGTTACTCCTGGCTCTGCACTCAGGAATTATTCCTGGCAATGCTCAGGGGACCATACGGGATGCTGGGGATTGAACCCTGGTCGGCCGCGTGCAAGGCAAACACCCTACCTGCTGTACTATTGCTCCAGCCTGGAGTATTTTTTAATTTTTTAATTTTTTTTTATTGACTCACTGTGAGATAGTTACAAACAAGAGTATTTTTTTTGTATTTTTTGGTCACACCTGGTGGTGCTCAGGGGTTACTCTTGGCTCAGGAATTACTCCTGGGTGCTTGGGGGACCTTATGGGATATAGGGGATTGAACCCAGACTGGCCGCATGCAAGGCAAATGCCCTCCCCGTTTTACTATTGCTCTGGTCCTGAAAGTTAGAATAGTGCAGAGTGCTGGATACTTAGCCAGTGGTCACTTCTTATTCTTTTTTTTTAAAAAAAAACTCTTTTTTTTTTGCTTTTTGGGTCACACCCAGAGATGCGCAGGGGTTCCTCCTGGCTCTGCACTCAGGAATTACTCCTGGCGGTGCTTGGGGGACCATATGGGACACCGGGGATCGAACCCAGGTCGGTTGCATGCAGTGCAAATGCCCGATAAATGTACTATCGCCTCAGCTCCAGTGGTCACTTCTTAAATGACAATGTCAAACTGGGAAATTGACATAGGTATAATCTAAAGAACTATAACTGGAGTTCTTCAGCAACACTTTTGTAAATCATAATATATTAATTTTATTATTTCTTTGATTTATGGGTCTCTGATAAACATGACTTCTTGGAAGAGATTGGGGTATTTAAACCGTACCCCATGCCAGTTATTAATTACCTCTTGATTCCAGATCTCCTTTCTTCCTCTCTGATCTGCATTAGTGGAACTGTTCATCATTTTTTTAGTTTTACATTATGTCAGTAGAGGGTGTCAGAGAGACACTGCAGGAAGGACTTTTCGCCCAATTCTGGCCCTACCTGCAAGATCCTGGGTTGTCTGTGTAATGGTGCTGTTCCCTAGCTGGGCACCCAGTGCATAGAGTTCTCTGTGGGCTCAGCCTGCATCCACTGAAATCTTCCTGCTGCCCTTTGAACACAGACATGTGGGGGCTTCACGGCATCCTGCCAGTCAGCCGACTCTCTGATTTTGCACCTACGGGTTTCCTGCTGATGTGGCCAGTGGTCTTCCATCACAGAAGCGTCGACTAATCCACTGCCTTGGTTTTCACTGTGCTAAATGTACCCACCACTGTGCAGGACAGGTGCTGGAGAACCCTGAGGTAGGCTTTTTAGTATGCTGTACCTTCATGAATGAAATCTGCGTACTGTCTTTAGGGATAGAACCCCCACCCTACCAAATTTGTTTTTCCTTGACGTTCTCCTCCTTGGGGTAACTGGTCTCTGGGATATTCTTTAGAATTCTCTTTATGGTTAATCTCCTAATACAGTTAATACTACTTGATAGTAAACTTCCTCTGTTCAAATGGATAGACATTTAAAATTTTTTTTTTTGGGGGGGGAGTGACTTTTGGACCACACCCAGCTGTGCTTAGGTATAATGCCTGGTGAGCTCAGGGGGTCATAGGGGATGCCAGGGATCAAACCTGGTCGCACGTTTTCAAGGGCAAGTGCAAATTCTATTAAGCCTTCATAGAACCTGCTGTACTATCTCTGTCCCCTAATAGCATTCTTTCTCCTATTAGATCCCAACTGAATTCGTATCTGACTGAATTAGTATCTAGTCCCTGAGGTGTTTCTGATACATTTCTGTTGAAAAAAATAAAACAGGTTATTTCATTCTAGATAACCTTTTAACTGTCACAGTGCATGGAGAGTTAATAGCTGCTTAATGATTACTCGCATATATCCATTTGTCCCTTATACCCATTTCTAGCCCAAGTGCTTAACATGCTGATGTGGGCATGGGCAGATGAAGGTGGAAACAAGGGCCAAGCCGGTTGATGATCAGTTGCCATTTATTCCCTTTCCCCCACATGCCTGTTCCAGACTGCCTGCTCTAGTCTCACTCTGCCTCTCATTCCCGTCTCCTCCTGTCTCTCCTGCTCATTTCTCTGCATTCCATCTCGCAGCCGCGTCACTCGCCTCTCCACGTGCCTTCTCCTGCATTCTTCGCCTACCTCTGTCTGCCGTGCTAGTCTCTCCATGCTCCGTCTTGCTGTCCTGGTCTCTCTCCAAGTCCCCACCACTGGGAGTAGACACCATACGCTGTTCTGCTGTTCCTAGCAAAGTCAACATAAGAAAGCCTTTTTTAAAAAAATTTTTTATTAGTGAGACACCATGAGGTACAGTTGTAGACTTACAAATTTTTGTGCTTGGGTTTCAGTTATACAATGATCGAATACCCATCCCTCCACCAGTGCCCATTCTCTACCACCACCAGTCCCAGTATCCCTCCCACCCCCCTTCACCCCATCCCACCCTACCTCTGTGGCAGGGCATTCCCTTTTGTTATCTCTCTCCTTTTGAGTGAAGAAAGCGTTTTCTTTGCTCACGGGCAAAATACATTTAGGGTGTTTTTCTGCTCTCCTTAGTCCAATAATTTAATTAACATCTTAATTAATATCTTAATTCTACTAATATTAGTTATTTTGTATGGACACTGTAAGAGATACATTGAAGCTTGTAGGGTGACTCCCTGGGGACATCTCGCTACAGACTCAGACTACAGTGCTCAGGCTGGATTAATCATTCCTAACCCTAGCGGGGTCCGAATCTAGTTATAGCTTTTTGGATCATGACAGAATTTGTCCATGACCAAGCTCTTAACTTATAGTTAAGTATTATGGTGCTTTCGCCAGGCCCATTTCGATGCCCGGGTAGCACATAGCTCATAGCTTGCTCTGGGTCCATCCAGTCAGTCTTCGGGACCCTGCTTTTGGAGTTCTAGGAAGGGCAACTGAGGCTTAGGTCGAGAGAACAGATGCCCCGGAGGTAATATTATTTGGAGTCAATTAACTTGCATGTTACAAAAGCATAGCATTAACTGTCCTCTTGTGCCCATAAAAATTAGAAAAAAAAAAAAAGAACATTGCTCTGAATGAACTATGCAAAGGAGTTAAGGAGAAGAGAAAAACAATGTTTTCAAGTCAACAGAGCCCAAAGAAGTTACAAGTAAACACAGAGGAATGGGAGCACTGTGATGAGAGTAATCCAATAAACCTAATCTCCCAGTGGCAAGGCGGAAAGGACAAACCAATGTTAGCCTACATATCTTACACTTGAATGTGGCTTAGTACAAAGTGTAGTGCTAGAATCAATGTGCTAATGAATATATACTAACATATATACTAACATATATTTCTTTTTTATACTAAAGTAAGAAATCTTGCAGAGTTATGCATGTTTTTGAGGGTGGGGAGTGAAAAATGGTAATTTCCTAGAAATAGCTAATCAGAGTCAACATGAGAATTTGAATCTGGAATATCATGCTATTCTTCTCAAAAACTGTTGATTATTTTGTTTGAATTTTATTTGGGAAAGAGAAAGAAAGGTCTTAAGTGCTTAGGTATATGATATAATTATGTCACAATTAAGTGACTTAGATATTATTTTGTCATAATGGCAGCTGTGGTTTTTAAAAATGATGTTTGATTTTTCCTCTGAAGGGACGAGGTAGGAAGAACCATTTAAAAGAGTCACCACACATAAATGGTAAGGGGTAGTATTGGAGGCGGATTCAAGCATGGAGTGTTCTCCTGCTCTCCACCTTCTGTTCCCCCCTGGGGCAGTGCCACCTGCTTCGGGAGTCCCTTTTCTAAAGCAACGCTAGATATGCTGTTTTTGGTGTTTGTATGGATGCTGACTTGGTGTTGAAAGCTCTTTGAATCTGTTTCCAGTAGCAACTCAGGAAATAAGAAAAACGGAACTTTTCTAGAACTTGATCGTGCCATGGCTCTGGATAAATCAGTTCTGTTTCCTGAAAGCAGTTTTATCCTTTGTTGTGTGAAGGTTGTTTTTGTTTTTTTGTTTTGTTTTGCTTTTTGGGTCACACCCAGCGATGCTCAGGGGTTATTCCTGGCTCTGCACTCAGGAATTACTCCTGGCGGTGCTTGGGGGACCATATGGGATGCCGGGGATCGAACCCAGGTCGGCCGCATGCAAGGCAAACACCCTACCTGCTGTGCTATCGCTCCGGCCCCGAAGGTTGTTTTGAAATATGAGTGCAAATACAGTGTCTGGCTTAAATAGCTGCTTTCATATAGTAATTATTCTGATCTTATTGTCAGGAGGTTTGATTTCAAATTTTGGGTCGTCAGCTCTATTTACTACACTATAACTAATGTTGGTTATGTTTCCTGTTACCAACACCTTTCATAGAACTTGACCATGTCAGATTGTAATTGCCTGTTTACTTCTTTTCCTCCTCTACTAGACTGTGAATTGCTTGAGAAGATAGGATTGGTAGTAATTTGCCTGCTACCTTATTTATAGAGTTAATAAGAGAAAGCCGAATGCTTTGAACTCCCTGGTGAAACACTTAATATTCACATTAGGTGTTTATGGTACTAATAATATCTATCTAATTACTAACATGTTATTCCTAATAGGCCTTGCTCATCTCCGTAGGAAGCTTGATGTACTTTAATGAAGTATAATTTTGGAAATGACTAATCCAGTTTGATAGAAAAAATTTATGCAGGTTTAATGCTGGAAGAAACCTTTGAGTTTTAAAGATGATAACTTTCACTTTCATTAAGAGATACTTTCTCTAAGATTGGTGTTGGTAACCTGTTGACTTGTGGCAGGGTTTTTAATTATTAAACCCAGAATAAGAGAAGTACATCAAAGTCAATCAAAATAAGGTGATATGTGTTAGCACTGAGGGAAGACCTACATTTCCAAGGCTCCCTTTTGCAGTAGTTTAATATAGGAAAATTAAGAGTATTTAAAGTTGTGGGGCCGGAGAGATTGTACAGCAGTTACTGTTTCTTGGTCAATTTTATTTCGGTCAATAATTTTTGACCATTTTAATTATAGTATCTGATTGTTGGTAGCCTTTTACATTTAAAATAAAGATTTGGGAATTTAGATAACATTTCAATTTGATTTTATTTTCTGTCTTAACTATTTGTGGTATTTCTTTAAATGAACCACAAACTTGTAAAGCAGTAAAAGTTGGGCTGCATAGTTACAACAAAAGAATTTTTGTTCACTGGGCTTCTTACATATTTGATACCTTATCCTCTTTGCTTTTAATATTTTCAGATGTTTTGGAATGTTATTAAGCCCGGGGCGAAATGTGAAGAACAGTGACATGCATTTACTGGATATGGTAAGAATACTCTTAAGTACCTTAATCAAATATAGATGAAAGTTATTTTATGTTTTAAGTATTTTTTATTTTAAAGTTTTGTAATTTTCTCAAATTGTCTCTATAGTTATATGATAATAATGTCAAACCCAAATAAAATTACTTATGAGGAAGAAAGTTAAGAATATTTACACCAAAAATCGTATGTGATGTTGTATGTAAACAATGTAAACAACTTTATGAAAATAAAATTTAAAAATTAAAATAAAAATCATGTGAGTTGAAAGCAAATAAAAGAATAGTGTTTTTCAATGTTCATCTGTTTGTTTCTTTGGTCTCTAAGGAGGATGTCTTCCCTTTGAACAAAAAATAGCAAGCACATGATACTAATAAATATATCCAAAGTGGATATGGTGCCTTTCATTTATTTTAATGCACTGTTAATAATTTGAGTACTTCTGTGATGTTTGTCTTTGTTTCCTTTCAAGCATTTTCCTTTCTGCATATTTTTTCCTTGCTTGCTTGTCTTTAGCAAAGTACATTTTTTGTGCAAATGTGTTTATTTAAGGAATACCTTCCAGTATATAGCTAATATAAAAATGCCAATTTTTGATGTAAAATACCAATACATTTCAACTTTGAAACAAATATGTTCTAATATTTCAAATGAAAATATGTATTTTGTGATTTGGAAATGTTATAGGAAATAGTCTTCTCAGAGTTAAATATAGCTTTTCTGACCTATTTTTTTTTTAACTAGCAAAAACAGGCACTATTTTCTAGATGTGCTTTGCAAGTATTATTTTAATATTATAAATATGTATGACAACTTTATGTTTATGTCATCAGTAACATTATATGACTCTTCTTTATATAACATTAGATGTCTCTTTCAGCCAATTTGAGCACCCAATTGTGTGCTAAATATGGTGTGAAGAGCTAGCATTCTAGGTAAGGTAGAAATTAACACCACTTTTACCATCTGTGGGATCATTGTCTTGTTATGGAAACACACTTTAAACTATGTCACAAAAGTAGTGTAACAGCAGTATTGTAACAACAGTAGTATAACAACAATACTTATACTCTGTAAGAGCATAAATGCGCCTACAAACTTAGAGTGAATCATGGAAATGTATGAGGAAGCACTGTAAGGAAGGATTACCAGTTACATTGACTCTGCATTTCTATGTTCATTGCTGCACTATTCACAGTAGCCAAAATCTGGAAAAAACCCGAGTGCCCAAGAACAGAAAACTGGTTAAAGAAACTTTGGTACATCTATACAATGGAGTACTATGCAGCTGTTAGAAAAGACGAAGTCATGAAATTCACATACAAATGGTACTACATGGAAAGTATCATGCTAAGTGAAATGAACCAGAAAGAGAGGGACAGACATAGAAAGGTTGCATTCATCTAGGGAATATAAAGTAACAAAATAGGAGACAAACACCCAAGAACAGCCAAGATAAGTAGCAGGAGGTTCATTCCATGGCTTGGAGGCCAGCCGCACATGTTAGGGGAAAGGGCAGGTCAGAGAGAGAAGGGAACACCAAGTAAAGGGTGTTGGGAGGATCCTCCCAGGATGGGAGATGCATGCTTGAAAGTAGACTATAGACCGAACATGTTTGCCACTCAATGCCTCTTTTGCAAACCTCAGCAACCGAAAGGAGAGAGAGAACAAAAGGGAATGCCCTACCACAGAGGTGGGTTGGGATGGGGGAGGGGTGGGGGGGGTGGGAGGGATACTGGGATCATTGGTGGTGGAGAATGGGCACTGGTGGAGGGATGGGTGTTCGATCATTGAATAACTGAAACCCAAGCACAAAAACTTGTAAGGTCAACAACTGTACCACATGGTGTTTCACTAATAAAATTAAAAAAAAAAAAAGAAGCAAATTAGCTCTTACTCCAGCTTTCTTACTCTTCTTGATTACATACCAGTAGAGCATCTTTTTTGCTTTCAGTGTTAACCAAAGCAAGGCATTGCATTTGGGAACCCTGAATATGCCACAAGGAACATTTAAAAAAAAAACATAAAAAATTTACAGACTTTAGGGACTGGAGCGATAGCACAGCGGGTAGGGTGTTTGCCTTGTACGCGGCTGACCCGGGTTTGATTCCCAGCATCCCATATGGTCTCCTGAGCACCGCCAGGAGTAATTCCTGAGTGCATGAGCCAGGGGTAACCTCTGTGCATTGCTGGGTATGATCCAAAAAAAGGCAAAAAAAAAATTTACAGACTTTAGATTCTGATGCTCTTTCAGAATGTGAGAAATAATTGACCTTTTCCCTAAAGTTCAAATGGTAGAATTGCAGATCTGGCATGAACTTCTGAGATCCCTTAGTGTGTGTATCTCATTTATAGTGTATGCCTCCACCTTTAGGAAGAGGTTCATATTGAAATCAAAGAGCTAACCAGCATGGAAACTCCTGGAAAGAAAAGTGATATCAGATAGGAACAGGAGGCTTCTATCCCCAGCACCTCATAGTGTCTCCTGAGCCCTCCCAGGAGTGATCCTTGAGCACTTCTGGGTCTGACCCACACCCTCTTACCCCCAAAGAGCATACCTATACAACAAAGAATTGGTCAAATAGGGGAAATGAATTGTATTTGCAGTTACCAACAGTTGCGACTTTTTTTTATACAGATTTCTCATCTTCATGCAGTTTTTAATATATAGCTATTGGGCTATTTAACAAACTCATTACATTATAATGCAGACTATGGGAAATACTGCTTATTAATTTTGGATAGCCAGTCTAAGATCAAGTTAAATATAGCTTCATAACCATACTAATGTTTTTGTGATTCATCATATAACAGAATATGTCCTTTATCAAGAGGTACATGTCTCTAGAAACTGAAAAAGCTGATGAAGGAAAGAATGCTTTACAAAAGCCTACAGGGTGAAAATATTTACAAAGAATTGCAAAGAAAATTATGATTATAAAGCCAAATTTTAATAAATGTAATTGCTTAAAATAAGATGTTTATATTAAAAAGTGGCAGTTCTCTTTTTTGATATCTATTCTCAGTGATTTCTGTTTGGATTTTTGCAGGAATCCATGGGCAAGAGCTATGACGGGAGAGCTTATGTTATCACTGGCATGTGGAACCCTAATGTACCAATATTTCTGGCCCTTAATGAAGAAACCCCAAAAGGTGAATTTTCTTAAGTATTCCTTATCATTTGCTTTAATACTGATATTATGGACAGTGTTGTTTTGCCATGATTAAAAAAAATTTAAGCACCGCCAGGAGTAATTTTTTTAAAAATGAAGTTATTCCTAAGAATTAGAAATTCTTTTTATAGTTCAAGCTTGTGTGGGGAAAAACCTCCTACTCAAAAGAATCCCCTCAGAAGATAAGTGAATTAATTTTGCTAGCTGTATAAAACCTTTATGCGTTGTGTTTCATGTCATTGTATAGAAATGTTTTATTTGGAGAACACTGATGCAGAGATATGAAAGAAATGAGGAAGATAAATTCTGGAATTTTGCATATACTTTTGAAAAACTAATTTTTCTTATATTATTTTTAAATTTTTCAATCAGTTTAATTATTGGCATTTTGTGTATGTTAAGGATTTATTCATAGAAAATACATTTCCCTAATATTTTACTTTTAAAAAAATTTTATTTATTTATTTTGAATACCCATCCCTCCACCAGTAACCATTTCCCATCACCACGGATCCCAGTATCCCCCCCATCCCACCCTGCCTCTGTGGCAGGGCATTCCCTTTTGTTCTCTCTCTCCTGTTGGGTGTTGTGGTTTGTAAGAGTTAAGCCTGATTTTCAGGGAGAAACCTTGGATGATTTACTTTCCATTGATCACTTTGTATATAAGGAGATGTCATGCGGCCGCATAAGTGGCTGCGTGGTTTGGAATAAAAGTCCTGGTTACTGAGCTATGCTTATGGAGGCTCATGGTCACCAGGGTTCCATCTGGAGAAGGCGGGATGTGGCACCTACCCCATCTGGGACTTCCCGGTGATCTCTGCTCTGTTTGGGACCTGGAGCATTCTCCGGGAGCTGTGGAGCCTCCCAGAGGTTTTTCTTCTTTGCTGTGTGCTGTAAAGATGGCGCTGGGGGGCGGGTTGTGGGTTGTGGGAGTATTTTACTTTTTAACTTTAACATGTTTTATGTTGCTTAGACTTGCTAAATGGAGACACATTTTTTTCCTAGTGGTTAATTTTTCTACACAGGTATGAATTGATTGCCTTTGTTTTTGACTCCTTCACTTGTTTTGAATCACTGTCACTGTCATCCTGTTGTTCAATTTCCTCGAGCAGGCACCAGTAACGTCTCCTTTGTCCTAGCCCTGAGATTTTAGAATGTGCCATATTCGAGGCTCTTTCACAGTCAGGAGAATGAGAACCATCATTGTTACTGATTTTTGGCATATTGAATACGCCATGGAGAGTTTGCCAGACTTTGCTGTGTGGGCAGGATACTTTTGGTACCCTGCAGGGTTCTCCAGAGTAAGAACTAGATAATAAGATGTCTTAAGCATGGCTGTGGCTGGAACCGGAGGTCTTCAGCTGCCGGGGCTCTGCTTGAGGTGGGGAGGGAAACTCAACCCACCCTTCTCCAAGGGGCCCCGGTGAGGACAGCCAGGTGTGGAGGCAGGAGACTCTGCGTTGTTCTCTTCCGGAGCTGGGTTTTATAGTCTCTGGGTCTTGTTTTGAATAAAATTTAAAATTCTGCATGAGTGGCTGGAGCGATAGCACAGTGGGTAGGGCATATGCCTTGCATGTGCCTGACCCGATTTCGATTCCCAGCATCCCATAGGGTCCCCCTGAGCACTGTCAGGACTAATTCCTGAGTGCATGAGTCAGGAAAGACCCCTGTGTATCGCTGGGTATGACCCAAAAAGTAAATATATATATAAAACAAAATAAAAAAATAAAATAAAATTCAGCATGAGCTATTGTTGGGGCCCTGGCACACTGGAGTATGATCCCCTGGTCGCCAGACTTATTCCCTATAGGAGGGAGTGGGAAGGGGAGAATCCTCCACCCTGGCCCTCCATGCACCCACGGACTCCCGCCACCACCGAGAAAGAACCACACAGAGGGGGGAAAGCTGTTAGTCAATCAGCAGTCCACTTATTAGCTTTCACACAGGGGTTTTTATACGTATATTTCAGGCGGCAATCCACGTTTATCACATTTACCTTGTCAGGCTCAATACAGATGTTAATAATTCACATCTCCCACTCTCAGGGCCAGGTGTATTAGCTCAGGCATATGGTAACTATTACATCCCTCATTGTCAACCAGAGTGCCTACGTGTGTGAAGTGCTGGAGCAAGCCCCTGGTCCCCTATAAACAGGGCTGGCTCTTTCTTTCAGGGGCAGGGGATTTGGTCAAAGTCTCAGGCCGGCTACTGAGACCCCAACATCTCCGCCTTTTTGTTTTATGTAAGAGCCATCTGCCGAGGGCCACCCGGCAGCCTCACACTGGGGCCTTCGGGGGCAGGCCTGTTTTAGGTTGCCTCCTCTGAGGTCTTAGCCGTCTCTGGCTCTCCAACCCAATGTCTCTCCCTGTGTGGCAGCTATATTACACTTTCTCGCACTCCTTCCATGGCTACACGCACCCAGGCCGCATCTCCTGGTCGAGGGTCTGCAAGTTTGTCTACTACATGGCCGAACATCACCATGGCCCCAAATCGGGTTTTTATCATCTGAACAAGGTGATTTACGATACATGGCCCAAGTGTTAAAAGTAAAAGGTAAAGGTAAAGGCCCTCCCGTTGATCGTCGATTTGCTCGAGCGGGCCCAGTAACGTCTCCATTGGAGACTTTGTTGTTACTGTGTCTGGCATATCGAATACTCTTGGTAGCTTGCCAGGCTCTCCGAGAGGGGCGGAGGAATCGAACTCAGGTCGGCCATGTTGGCCGCTTGTAAGGCGAACGCCCTACCGGCTGTGCTATTGCTCCAGCAGTAGTAAAATGAATGACCCAGCCAAGGCAGACACAAGTGTGGTAAGCATAAAAGCAACACTCCTTCCCTAATGCGGCACACAACCTCCCCTTGCTGCAACAATAATAAGTCCAGTTCCATCTCTTACAAAAGTAATCTGATATATCTCCACATTTCCCATAGTTTCTTGTTCCTAGGCACACATAAAAATGCCTTTGGATCCCCACATAAGATCCTGGACCTTGATATCCATAGCGACATATCCCACTCATGCTCTATTTGATCATCGGGAACCAGGTCCCAACCGGATGTTGTTCCGTGATTGAGACTACCAATCTGTTTCTCCCTGCTCGACTGAGTTCCCAGATGAGGTTGTACAGCTGGTGTCCAGTGGCATCCACAGCGACTGCAAGGAGTGTCATGATCCAGAAGGGGACTGCCATCTAGAAATTAAACAGAAGGGATATCCTCCTCAAGGGCATCATCACACCCCTGGGTGTTGTCAGGATCTAGATATTTGAGGGCCCCTGTGGGCACCCAGATAGGTTGGGATTCAGAAATAGGAATGCACACCCAAAGCCTCGACCAGAGCTAATGAGTGGATCTGGGCCTCTCCATTGCCCTGTGGAGCGATTTTTTCTGATTCTGTAAGGCTGTGGCTAGCATCAGGGTCTGCTGTGTAGGGGACCCTAAATCTTGGGTAGTACACATCCAGTTACCCATGGAGCTGTTTTTCATGCCCACGCTCTGTCGTCATGCCGTCTCACACCAACAGCTTGATAAAATGATCTCTCAGCTGCCTTGGGGGGAAACTTACGCTTGATGCTCTTTTGGACCCTGTCAGCAAAGGTTGGGAGGTCTTCCCCTTATCTTTTATTGCATTCCACCTGGGGGGTCGTCAGTGGCACCCTCCTCAAGCCTTCACCAGACTGATAACACTAGGGCACCGAACCTGATCTTGATAAGGGTCCGGAATAGTAGCCTGCTGGAGACCTCTGTGTGTGGCACGCTTCCTTAAAGAAAGCGCCCCATCTGGGTGCTGGGAGCACTGCCTGACAAAGGGCTCTCCAGTCTGCAGTGGTGCAGGTCTGATGGGCCGGCCCCTGGAGGATGGTGTCAGCCCATGGGGAGTTGGGCCCATCCTCAGTCACTGCCTTTTTTTTTTTTGACTCTTTCAAGTCCCCAGGTTCCCAAGGATACCAAACTGCAGGTCGGGCCCCACCCCCCAGATTGAGATTGACTCTTCGAGCCCAGAAAGACCTCTAGTAACCCTTCCCCAGTCTCAGGTCAAAAAAGGGAGCCGAAGCTTCTTCTGGAGGGGCAGTGGGGCGAGGGGCGAGAGGATTCAGGTCTGTCTCCCCCCAAAATCTCAGCTATTCCATTCTCTATATCCTGATCGGTGAAGGGCGACCCTGAAACGGCTGCCTGCCTAGTACCAGGAGAGACACTCTCTCTCCTCCTGGAAGCGTGCCTTTAAGGCTGCCACTGCCCCATACAAACCTGGCGGGGCCCCTTGCCTGTCTTTTTGGCCCATTCTACAACAAGGTTTTCTACCTGGTTCCAGGTGTCCCACGAGAAGAGGTCCTCAGTAGTGACCCAAGTAGCCACGTCAAGGGTAGCGCTCCAAATCTTAGATGCTCTACTCTCAGAAAATTCTAGCCCTTGGCTTTTTAGCAGATAACGTAAAGCTTTCAGACCTGGGTGAGGCATCTTCTGAATGGAATTGCCCATGATATTTAGTGGGGTTGAGAAGGTCAGGATAGATGATGGTTCCGCTAAAAGACCACCGAGGCAGAAGAAAGAACACAGAGGTCGAAAAAAAAAAAAACACACAGCAAGAATGAGGCAAGATGCCAAAAACAGGATAGTTGCTAGGCACTCCATAGGCCGGGGGAGAAGCAAAAACAAAAGTGGGAACTGACGAAACATCCTGACTCAAGGAGGACTCTTCTGATAGTTCTGCCTTACTATCAGAAGGGGCAGAGTTTGAGCGCCTGCTCATTCTCCTGCCTGAATTGCCAGCAGGGTATCTCCGATGTGGTTGCCTATTTTACTGCATGGATTTGAGGTGATCAGGGGGTCGCACCTTGCTCCAGCGACGTCCGCGCTGTCCCCCTTCAGGGCGCCAGATGTCGGGGTCCTGGCCAGTCGACCCCCGCACACTGGAGTCTGTTCCCCCGGTCGCCGAACTTACTCCCTATAGGAGAGGGAGTGGGAAGGGGAGAAGCCTCTGCCCTGGCCCTCCACGCACCCGCGGACTTCCGCCGCCATCGAGAAAGAACCACGTGGAGAGGGGAAACTGGTGGTCAATTAGCAATCCGTTTATTAGCTCGTACACGAGGGTTTTTATACATCCATTTTAGGGGCAATCCACGTGTATCACGTTTACCTTGTCAGGCTCAGTACAGATGTTAGTTAATGATTTACATCTCCCGCTCTCAGGGCCAGGTGTATTAGCTCAGGCAGATGGTAACTATTACATCCCTCATCTTCAACCAGAGTGCCTATGTGTGTGGGGTGCCGGAGCAAAGCCCCTGGACCCCTGTAAACAGGGCTGGCTCTTTCTTTCAGGGGCAGGGGATTTGGTCAAAATCTCAGGCCGGCTATTGAGATCTCAACAAGTTATGATCTGTGATCTATATTCTTTACACAAATTTATTTATTTTAATTTTTATTAGTGAAACACCATGAGGTACAGTTGTAGACTTACAGGTTTTTGTGCTTGGGTTTCAGTTATACAATGATCGAGTACCCATTCCTCCACCAGTGCCCATTCTCCACCACCACTGATCCCAGTATCCCTCTCAGCTCCCATCCCTCCCATCCCATCCCACCTCTGTGGCAGAGCATTCCATTTCTTTCTCTCCTTTTGGGTGTTGTGGTTTGCAAAAGAGGCATTGAGTGGCAATCATGTTTGGTCTAGAGTCTACTTTCAGCATGCTTCTCCCATCCTGGGAGGATCCTCCCGACACCCTTTATTTGGTGTTCCCTTCTCTATCTGAGTCTTTACACTGATTTAATCAGTAATTTATATTGAGAAAATAATGATTTGTTTGAGCTTTAGTTTTGTGTTTAGTTTGTACTCACAGTAGACTTGGTTAAAGACAGAGCACTAGTGAATACTAAAATGGAAATTCATAAACAACAAACATTTATAATATTTATTCTCAAATTTTGTTTAATGAGAGTATCCCTAATCGCATTTGATCACACATCAGGCTGTTTTAAAATGAAGGCTAATAAGGGATAAAATGACAATTATATAAAATTCAGCTATTTATATATTGGCTATAAGATTTTTATACACCCACAGTTTGTTATTTCTGGAGAATGGCTTGTGGCTATCAGCCTGTACACTTTTTGCTTATAGTCAGAGTGAAAACACGAAAATGAAGAAAATAAGCCCGTTGGTAATTTGAAGAATAAAAAGAAAGGAAATTTAAATAATAAGTCATAAAGAGAATTTTAATGTTTTTAATGCCTTGTAGTTTATTTTTATTTTAGAATAAACTGGGGTCTGGGCTACACTTGGCAGTGCTCAGAGACTACTTTCAGCTCTGTGCTGGGGGAGGGGGAGCAGGAGGTGCTTGGAGGGGCAAGGGGACACTTGGGGTCCAGGACCAAATGGGAGGAGGTGGAGAGAGACCCCACTCCAGGTGGGCCCTTCTGTTCTCCTGGCGCCAGTTTTGTTTTAGTGCACATTAGGCTCCAAAAAGAAAGATAATAGAGTTAAAATTTTGCATTTTATTAAAATAAACATACTTTTTACAATGTTTTAATTGAACTATTTTATTTTACTTTTTTTTATTTTGTTGGGCTACACCTTTCAGTGCTCAGGGGTTACTCCTGGCTCTATACTCAGGAGTCCCTCCTGGTGATGCTCGGGGACATGGGATAATGGAGATTGAACGTGGGTCAGCTGCATGCAGGGCTCCATCTCCTGATTAAAATATTTTAGATTCATTTCACATACCATATAAAACATTAACTTCTAAAATTTTTATTTTATTATTATTATTATTATTATTATTTTGCTTTTTGGGTCACATCTGGTGATGCACAGGGGTTACTCCTGGCTCATGCACTCAGGAATTACTCCTACTGGTGCTCAGGGGATCCTATGGGATGCTGGGAATTGAACCCGGGTCGGCCACATACAAGGCAGATGCCCTCCTCGCCGTGCTATTGCTCCAGCCCAATTTCTAAAATTTTTAAATGGCGTTCTTGAAATCTACTCAGAATTAATTAAAGTTTTATTTTATTATTATTATTAATTTTGGACTGCATCTGGTTGTGCTCAGAGATCACTTCTGTTGGGCTCAGGGGACCCTGTGAGCTGCCAGGGATAGAACCCAAGTTAGCTGGGTGCAAGGCATGCTCTTACCTGCTGCACTCTCTCTCCATTTATTTCTGGTTTTTGTTTTTTATGGGCCACACTCATTTATGCTTAGTACTCCTGGCTCTGTGCTCAGGGAACACTCTCGGTTCTGCTCGGAGACATGCCATACTGGGGATCTAACTGGGACCTGCTGTGTGCAAGCCAAGTGCCTTACCCCCTCTACCATTTCTTTGATCCTCAAGGTGAATTTTTAGTTGAAGCCAAGGGAGAAAATGTTTTTGGCCTTTTTATTGCCAAATTGTGAGATCCATCATGTGTCTTCTTTTGTCATGTTATCTCTCACCTCTCTGTGTTATTCCTGGAAACACGGTAAGGTCTTCTTTTGCCTGAATTGACTGAATGTTTGAATGTTCTGTAATAAACAAGTACAAATGTAATAAAGTTTTTGTTGAATGTTGTACCAGAGTATCGTTGATCTGTATAAATGTTTCATAATGTTTTTAAAAAACACTGTCATGGGGCCAGAGAAATAATACAGAGGCTGAATTGCTTGCTTTACATGTGACCAACCCAGTTTGATTCTAGCATTGCATTTAGTTCCCTGAGTACCGACAAGAGTGATCCCTGAGCACTGCTCTGTGTGGTCCTCCCTCCCCCATAACACAAAAGATATCTGACATTTTATTTAATTATTTTTTGGCTCTTTGGGTCACACCTGGCGATACTCAGGATACTCAGGGTACTCCTGGCGGTGTTCAGGGGATTATATGGGATGCTGGGGATCAAACTTGGTTTGGCTGCATGCAAGGCAAATGCCCTACTCGCTGTACTATTGCTCCAGCCCCGATACCTGAAATTTTAATCTTTTTTATATAAAAACACTGATTTTAAGATGGAAAATTAAAGCTGTCAAAGGAGAGTTAGACACTTAACCATGGCTAATGAGAAACATCATTAGAACACATCATTATCATTATCATTTAATAAAAATGAGAGTAAATCATTTAAAATTAAACTTATGGGTTGGAGAGATAGTATAGCAGGCAGGGCACTTGCCTTTCACGTGACCAACCTGGGTTTGATCCCTGGCATCCCATATGGTCCCCCGAGTTTGCCAGAAATTATTCCTTAGTGCAGAGCCAGGAGTAACCCCTGAGTACCATCAGGAGTGGCACAAAAACAAATAACAAAAATGAGACTTAAAAGGTAACATGGTTGTGGAGAACTTTGCCTTTTAATTTATAAGCTCGGAATCTTTTTCTCTTAAATTATCAAGAAATAGGGGGTCTGGAGCAATAGCACAAGTGGGTAGGGCATTTGCCTGGCACGTGGCCAACCCGGGTTCAATTCCCAGCATTCCATATTGTCCCCTGAGCACCGCCAGGAATGATTCCTGAGTTCAGAGCCAGGAGTGACCCCTGAGCATCACCAGGTGTGACCCAAAAAACAAAAACAAACAAAAAACCAAAGAAATAGGTGCTGGAGAACTGGCATAATGGGTTGAGTGCATAGATATACGGGAGGCCTGGGCTGGATCTCTGGCACCGCGTGCTTCCCAGGAGTGCTGGGAGTGATTCCTGAGAACAGAGCCATGGGTCAGCCCTGAGCACCTGTAAAACACGGACCACTCTTCCTGCAGATAAACGAGTGTACATGACGGTGGCAGTGGACATGGTTGTTACGGAGGTGGTCGAGCCTGTCCGCTTCCTTCTGGAGACGCTGGTTCGAGTGTACCCTGCAAATGAGCGATTTTGGTATTACAGCCGGAAGACTTTCACAGAGACTTTCTTCATGAGGTTGAAACAGGTAGGACCATCTTCATGTTTTATATATATATATTTTTTTTTTCTCTCTGACTTTAAATGTCAACACAGTAATGTCTTATATAATAATAAAAAGCCAAAAATTGATTGAAATAAATAGTAGTTAAGCAGAACAGAATTTGAAAAATCTTTATGTAGCTGGAAAAAACAACCCACAACCCCAAATCCCCATACAGTGATGTGTCTTTAAAGTTTTAATATACTTTCTAGAAATGTCTTTTTATTTATTTATTTATTTATTTATTTTTTGCTTTTTGGGTCACACCCAGCAATGAACAGGGGTTACTCCTGGCTCTCCACTCAGGAATTACTCTTGGTGTTGCTTGGGGGGACCATATGGGATGCTGGGAATCGAACCCAGGTTGGCCTTGTGCAAGGCAAACGCCCTATCCACTGTGCTATTGCTCCAGCCCCTAGAAATGTCTTTTTAGCTAAAACAACTTTCTTCCTTTAATATGCTGTTATTTAAAACCAAAAAGATAAGACCCCAAAATACCGTATGCTATTAATAAAGTTATAACAAAAATGTTTCCAAATATTACCTAATTGTCATAACTTAATTCCGTCTCTAATGCTGTATAAGTATTTCTACTTATTGGTAATATTATGAAAATATTTTAATATTAAATGCATGAAATTGGGACTGGAGAAATAGAACAGTGTTTAGGGTGCTTGCCTTGTATGTGACTGACCTGGGTTTGGTCTTGGAACCATGTATCACGCACCATGAGTGATCTCTGAGCACAGAGCCAGGGATAAGCCCTAATGATTGCCAGATGTGGCCAAAAAACAGAATCAAAACAATTCAGTTAATGAAAGTAAGATTTCTATGATAGCCCCAAATTGGCAGTCGTCCTAGTCAGTAAAGAGGAAGGTAGCCATGAAAAATTACTAGAATTCTATTAGTGTCAGTTTTGTGAAATTATTTAAATATTGGAAGTCCTTGTCATGCTGCTCAGAAATTTCTAGCCTTTCAAGCTTAAAAACTGCTTCATATACTGTAATAAGTGAAATATATCGTGGTAAAACTGGCATCTGCATAGTGAGAAAAAATTGAAATTGAAATCACTTTTTGATTTTCATATTAAAAAACTTATGGCTCAGATTTCAGCACTAGATGCTTTGAAATTATGGCTTTCAAAAAGTTATCAGAGCTGTGAGTGACATAGATTTTATTACTTGGTAGACTGTAGTTTATTTTATTTTTTAATATTCTAATGAAATAATGTGAACAAAATCAAAATTTTAGTCTCAAGCGCCTTTTTATATATTATTATTAGATACTATTTCTTCCTCTCTCCCCGTTTTTACTTTTTATAGGTTAATTCTTATGAGTATTAGGATTCATTTATCATTTGAGCCAAAAGATTATTCACAGTTGCGTAAGATTGAATAAAGGAATACAGAAAGTGGTTGTCATTCTAGTGACAGTATATTATTATGGTTATGTGAATTCTTTCTCCTTGAGACCTGATGAAAATAGATTTTTCCCTTAAATTTTATTTATTTTTTTAATACAGGAAAATAGCTTTCCCCCTTAAATTTTATTTATTTTGTTTATTTATTTATTTTGTTTAATGTAGGAGTACTGCTGTTTATTCAGCCGTTGATTAAGTTGATTAAATTGGGCATGAACTCCACATTACTTTTTTAAAAAAATATTTTTAATTGAATATTCGTGATATAGACCGTTGCACAGCTGTTCATAATTGGGTTTCAGTCATGCAGTGTTCCAGCACCCATCCCTCCACCAGTGTACGTTTCTCACTAATAGTCCCCTGTTTCCCCACCACCATCCTCCAACGCTCCACCCCCATCCCCAACCTCCCTCAGTGGGAGGCACTTTCCTTCTTGCTCTCTCTCTCTCCTTTTTCTTTTGTGCATTATGGTTTGCAATACAGGTGCTAGGAGATCATGATGTTTGTTCAGGACATTCAGTATTTTTAGAGGGACAGTAAGGCTGGAGTAGCTTTTCAGTTGGGTGGCTGCTTTGGGTGTGGATGTGACTGCCGAGGCTTCCAGAAGCACAGGGAGGTGGGAGGAGGTAGCCCATCCCGACCCCGAGAAAGCTTGGAGATTTCAGTCACAAAACCCGTATATCCAAGTTTTTAGCAGATTATATCTTGGTGAGGTTTGTCCCGAGATGGTGGAGTCAGGCCAGGGTAGGTCCGTTCAGTCATGCTCGGGTCTGAGATTAGCTGCGGCTTTTGATCTCTTTTGAGTTTTATTTGTGGTTCTCTGAAATAAGGCCAGGAAAATAGCTTGTATAGCTGAGCTGGAGGTGGTTTGTGGGCATGGTTTCCACATACCTAACTTTTGACCATTTAATTTTTTGGTAAGCTTGGCCCCAAGTTGTTGGGGTGTGGCTGAAGGCACGGAGGCAATTTTGGGGTATCAGAAAGCCTGAAGGCACCAATCAGGCTGCTGATGCACTTGCCCTGCAGGTACAGGTTGACCTGCTGGTGGCACCATACCCTCTTAACTTTCATTTTTATTAAAAGCATTTTTTAATTAAAACACTGTGATTTACCAAGGTGTTCATAATATAGTTGTTCCAGGCATTAAATGTTCCAACACCAGTCCTACCACCAATGTGCCCTTCTGTCCCAGTTTCCCAGCTACCCCACCAACCTTGTAGGTCCCTTGCAGGCACCAGCAAATTTACCTCATCTTGTTTGTTACAACACAAAGGCAAATGGAATTATGAAAACTTAGATAAGAGTCAGTTAGTGATCATTGTGATCTCACAGTGATGCTGTTAAAGCCATTGTCTGAGAATCTCCTGTGCTGGTTGGTGCTAGCTGAGCCCTTGTTACTGCTTATCGGACCTGGCGGTGTCCATCTGACTGCTCTGACCCTGCCACATTGATGGTACTGTGAAATGGAGGCCCATGATGCCACGGGCTTCAGGAACTACAGACCTGGAATGATTTGGTGGCTTGGCAGTATGATGAGGTGCAGCTGTGGAGCTGGGCCGTTTTTTATGTCAGCGTTGGGTGTTGCTGCGGGCAGAAAGGGGAACCTGCCCGCCCCTATTCTTAGAAGGGTGCAGACTTCTCAGCGTGGACCAGTCTCCCTGGGAAGGTTCTTGGAGATGCAACTCGGGGCCCTTTCTCTGCTGGCAAGATGGCAGGTATGGACAGGGGCTGCTGGGTTTCCTGGTGGCTGGGGGGGTAGGGTGGCAGGGACCTTCCCCTTAAATCAGAGCGTTCTTTATCTTCCCATAATATTAACATGAATTAAAACAGTTTTATTACAGTTTAGATTATGTGTTAGTAATAGTGCTGACATTTGTGGTCTTGATGTCCACAGTTACCTCACCTCACCACCACCAAAGTGCCCACGTTCCCCTGACCCCACCCTATGCCTCTGAGTCACTTCCGGTCCATCTTCCCCCCCACTAATCTGGTGCTCAGTGTGTGCTCTGGTACTTAGGTTATCAGTGAGTGTTATCAGTAGATACTCTCTGTATCCTTGGTGTGTTTCCCTAACCACTGCAGAGAAGTGAGGTCATCCAGTGTTTCTGCTTCTCCCTCGGGGTTACTTCACTCAGCACGACACCCCCAGTTCCATCCATGTTCCAGCAAACAGCATGCTTTCATTATTAGTGTGAATCTTTTTTACTGTTACTCTCATATTTTACAAACTGCTGAAGTTGTGTGATCGGTAAGTACACTTTGGCCAAACTCTTAGTAATAAAGTGTTCAAGTACTGTACTCATTTCAAATGAGTAAAGGAAAGTTATATTAAGTATAATATCAGCTACTAAAAATGTGAGACTGATTTAAATGGTTTCTTCTTTTTTTCTTTTTTCTTTTCACACCCGGAGATGCACAGGGGTTACTCCTGACTCATGCACTCAGGAATTACTCCTGACAGTGCTTCGGGGACCATATGAGAATCGAACCTGGGTCGGCTGTGTGCAAGGCAGACGCCCTACCCGCTGATCTGTTGCTCCAGCCCCTTAAATGGTTTCTTGAACATAGCTTAATGATATAATTTGTGTTCAAGAAAAAGTGTGAAAAACAGAAAAATGTAATGTTGACTGGTCCCTATATGAAGCTATATCTTCCCTGAGAAAAAATACTAAAAATGAAAATAATTAAAATCTAGCGAAGTTAAAAGGACCAGTAAGGTTCATATGGCTGATGACCAAGAGTTGAGATTGCAGTTTCATCTCTACTTATATTTTAATTTAAACATCATGATTTACAAAGTTCATAATACAGTTGTTTCAGACATTGAGCATTTGGTGTTCTAACATGAGTCCCTCCATTGGTGTGACCTTTCTTCCACCAGTGTCCCCCGTTTCTGACCCACACTCCAAGTCTGTCCCCTTAGCAGGCACAAAGTAAATTACTTCATATTGCTTGATACAACAGGATGGCACGTGGAATCATCAGGATAAATGAAAGTCAATTTGTGATCATTGTTACATCTCACATAGTGTTACTGAAGTCATTGAGGATTTCCTGAGCTGGTTGGTGCTGATTGGGCCATTAAGTTTGATGGGTTTCTTGTGAACCTTTCCCATCACATTTACTGTGCTTGTACTGTGCTGTTAGTACTGTGAAGTATGGGGTAGGTGTCCTGCGTGCTTCAAGGAGCTATTCACAATTCCGTATCGTAAATCAGACCCTTCTGCTTTTAGACCAGATGAGCTACTATCCTTAACTTCAGAAATTGCGTCAATTTCTGGCGGTAGCTAACAATCTGGAGATGTTAGTCTAAACAACCTTGGTAGAAAGAAGGAGTTTGGTGAATATCTGACGCAGTTCAAGGATACCTGGGGAAATCGGGGTTAGGCCATTCCTTGTATTAAAGAAATCAAGAGAGAATTGGGTTAGTTTCAGTTTAGAGTGGTTTTGTCTGAGACACCTAGATTTCTTTCATTCTAAGAGTATTGGATTTATTGAATGAGCCCAGAGCTAATCCTGTGCCCAGATGGGATCAGGTAAGTCTCTGGGGCAACAGTAATTTATA